TTTCTCCTTTTCTCCTTTCCTTCCCTCTCCCCTTCCTCTCTCCATCCCCCCTCCTTCTCCCTTTCTTCCCTCCTTCCTTCCTTCCTTTCTACTCTCCTTCTCTCCTTCCTTCCCTCCCTCTTTCCCTCCTTGCTACCCTCTCCTCTTCCCTCCCTCCTTCCACCCCCCCTTTCTTCTCTTTCTTCTCTCCTTCTTTCTTCCCACCTCTCCTTTCCCTTCTCTCCTTTCTCTTCCTCTTTTTTATCCTTCCCCTCTTCTTCTGCCTTTCCTGTTCCTCTCCTTTCTCCTCTCCATCCTGACTTTCCTACTACCCCCCCTCCCTCCACTCTAACCTTTGTTGCATTTACATATTTTCCTCTAGCACTTAGAGTAAGTTCATATGCGGGGAAAGGCAGGGGATCGAATCCTTTTGGCAATAGAGTGTGGCTTCTGGCTTATAAGTCTATATATGTTGCCTTAACATTTTTTTTTCTAACCACGTTTGCATTTTCATCCAGAATGTTTTGGCTTTTGGACCCGTTCACCACACGTGATAATATGTGCCCAGTATTTGATTATATTTCCAACTGGGTGGACATATTTTGTAAACATTTTTGCTGGCAGAAAGTGCCAGCTATAAAACGTTTTATATACAGATTTTCTTTTAGATGTGGCACAGTGGTTAGAGTGCAATACTGTAGGCTACTTCTGCTGACTGCCGGCTACCTGCAATTTGGCAGTTCGATTCTCACCTGGCTCAAGATTGACTAAGCCTTCCGTCCTTCCAAGATGGGTAAAATGAGGGCCCAGATTGTTGGGGGCAAGAGGCTGGCTCTGTAAACCGCTTAGAGAGGGCTGTAAAGCGGGATATAAGTCTGTGCTATTGCTATTTCTCCCTCCCTCCCTCTCTTTTCTCCTTCCTTCCTTTCCATCTTTCCCTCCTTCCTTCTGTCTCTTCTTCTCTTTTCTCCTTCCTTCCTTCCCTCCCTCCTCCCTTTCCCTCTGTTTCCTTCCTTCCTTCCCTCCCTCCTTCCTTCCTTCCTTCCCTCCCATGTTGGCGCATGGGTTAGAAGGCAGCATTGCAGGCTAAACTCTGCCCACAACCAGGAAGTTCGATCCTGACCGGCTCAAGGTTGACTCAGCCTTCCGTCCTTCCAGTAAAATGAGGACCCAGATTGTTGGGGGCAAGAGGCTGACTCTGTAAACCGCTTAGAGAAGGCTGTAAAAGCACTGTAAAGCGGCATATAAGTCTAAGGGCTATTGCTATTTCTCCCTCCCTCCTTTTCTTCCTTTTCTCCTTCCTTCCTTTCCATCTTTCCCTCCCTCCTTCCTTCCGTCTCTTCTTCTCTTTTCTCCTTCCTTCCTTCACTCCCTCCTCGCTTTCCCTCTGTTTCCTTCCTTCCCTCCCTCCCTCTTTCCTTTCCCTCTGTTTCCTTCCTTCCTTCCTTCCTTCCCATGGTGGTGCATGGGTTAGAAGGCAGCATTGCAGGCTAAACTCTGCCCACAGCCAGGAAGTTCGATCCTGACCTGCTCAAGGTCGACTCATCCTTCCATCCTTCCGAGGTGGGTCAAATGAGGACCCAGATTGTTGGGGGCAAGAGAGGCTGACTCTGTAAACCGCTTAGAGAAGGCTGTAACAACACTGTAAAGCAGGATATAAGTCTAAATGCTATTGCTATGTCGTTTCCATTGTCAATTTATAATTTCTTTCCTACCTTTTTTTGCCAATTATCTAATTCTATACCATGACTAAATTTTTGGGGGGTTTCTTCTCGTTCTTTCCTCGAAGATCTGCTCAAAGGGAGGAACGAGGAGATGAAACCAGACCCCTTCCTGCGCAAGAGCCCCTCCCTCGAATCGCTAAGCAAGCCCCCCACCCTGGCCTTCGCTGGAAGGATGTTCACCTCCACGCCCAGTGGCTTAAAACCGCCCAGCAAACTCAGGTGAGTCAGGTAGCATGGCTGCTTCAGGCAAGTGTGTGTGTGTGTGTGTGTGTGTGTGTGTGTGTGTGTGTGTGTCAATTACAGGTAGTCCTCGACTTACGGCCATTTGTTTAGCGACCGTCCGAAGCTACCGCGGCGCTGGGAGGAAAAAATTGTGACTTAGGACCAGTTTCACACGTAACGACCGCTTCCCCGTGCTCACGTGATCAAAATTCAGGCGCCTGGCCACTGACTCGTATTTATGACGAGTGTTTCGAGGACACGTGCTTCCCCCCCTTTTGCGACCGAGTCAGACGAGCCGAGTCAAACCGGGAAGCCGGATTCACTGAACAACTGTGTGACTCACTTAACAACAGCCGCGATTCGCCGGACAGCCCTGCGGCAAGGAAAGTCGTAAAAACGGGGGAAATCCCGCTTCACAAATGTCTCGCTTAGCAACGGAGACAGTGACGGTCGTAAGCCGAGGACTGCCTCTATACTCCCAAGGTTACGACCTGTGGACTTCCAACTCCCAGAGTTCCTCAGCCAGCATGGCTTCCAACAAGCAAAGTCAATGGGGAGGGTGTGGAAGCCGGGAATTCTGGGAGTTGAAGTCCACAGGTCCTGAAGGGCACCATACTTGCCCATCTCTGCTTCAGAAGATGTCCTTCATCTCTGGCCAATAGAAGCTTCCACCCCAATCCTCACATTGTTGCGATGCCAACATTTCAGAAGGAAGGACCTTGGCGTAGGTGACCTCATCCAGATGACTGGAGAAGAGGATGCCCCAAATCAAAGACCAGGTGTCATTTCTCTGGTGACCTTCAGAAGAGGTGGACTTCTGCTGCGGTAGAGACAAGCGCAAGCTCTTCTCCAAAGCCCCAGGAGGCAGGAGAAACCCATCAAGGAGAGAAGCAACTTGGAATGAAGGAGAAACTTCCTCACAGTGAGGACAATTAACCAGTAGAACAACTTGCCACCAGAAGTTCTGGGTGCTCCATCACTGGAGGTTTTTAAGAAGAGACTGGACAGGCATTTGTCTGGAATGAACTAAGGAATTCTGCTTGAGCACTGGGCTGGACTAGAAGACCTCCAAGGTCTCTNAGAACAATTAATCAGTGGAGCAAATTGCCTCCAGAAGTTGTGAATGTTCCAACACTGGAGGTTTTTAAGAAGATGTTAGATAGCCATTTGTCTGAAACGGTGTAGGGTTTCCTGCCTAAGGAAGGGGTTGGACTAGAAGACCTCCAAGGTTCCTTCCAAGTCTGTTATTCTATTCTAAAGATATCTGCTTGAGGCACCAAAAATAATTCCCGGTAAGATCTGAGGTGCTTTTGAAGCTTTCTTTACATTTCACACCATCAAAGACACAACATACAATGCAGTTTGAAAACCGCAGGGCTCTTTAGGAGTTACAGCCATCTTTGGAAGCAAGTTGAGCCCCCTTCCGAATAATGTATGTCTTTTAATTCACACATCAGATTATTTCATAGCTCCCAGATTAAAGTCAACCTTTCTTTCTTTACAAGGGTGAGGGGGGGAAGGGAAGGGGGGGGGGAGAAAGGAAAAAAAAGGAATGGAAAGGAAGGCAATGAAAGACAGAAAGAAGAAAGAAGGGAAGGGAATACAAGAGAAGGAAAAAAAGGAGAAAGGAAAGGGAGAAGAAAGAAGGGAAGGGGAGAGGAGAGTAGGGAAAGAAAAAGGAGAGAGGGGAGGGAAAGGGAAAAAGGGAAAGGGAAAAAGGAAGAAAGAAAAGGACAGAAAGGAAAGGGAGAAAGAAGAAAGGAGAAGGGAGAAAGGAGAGGAAAGGAAAGGAGAAGAAAGAAGAGAAGGAAGGGAAATGAAAAAAAGGAAAAAAGGAAAAAGAGAAGGAAAGAAAGGGAAGGCAAGAGAAAAAGGAGAGGAAAGGAAAGGAAGAAGAAAGGAAGGAAAGAGGAAAAAGAAATGAAGGAAGGGAAATGGAAAAAAGGGAAGGAAAAGGAAAAAGGAAGAAAGGAGAAAGAGAAGGAAGGAAAGGGAAGGCAAGAGAGAAAGGCGAGGAAAGGAAGAAGAAAGGAAGGAAAAAGGAAAAAAGAAGAGAAGGAAGGGAAATGGAAAAAAGGGAAGGAAGAGGAAAAAGGAAGAAATGAGAAAGAGAAGGAAAGAAAGGGAAGGCAAGAGAGAAAAAAGAGGAAAGGAAGAAGAAAGGAAGGAAAAAGGAAAAAAGAAGGGAAGGAAGGGAAATGGAAAAAAGGAAAGGAAAAGAAAAAAAGGAAGAAAGGAGAAAGAGAAGGAAAGAAAGGGAAGGCAAGAGAGAAAGGAGAGGAAAGGAAGAAGAAAGGAAGCAAAAAGGAAAAAAGAAGAGAAGGAAGGGAAATGGAAAAAGGGAAGGAAGAGGAAAAAGGAAGAAAGGAAAAAGAGAAAGAAAGAAAGGGAAGACAAGAGAGAAAGAAGAGGAAAGGAAGAAGATAGGAAGCAAAAAGGAAAAAAGAAGGGAAGGAAGGGAAATGGAAAAAAGGGAAGGAAAAGAAAAAAGGAAGAAATGAGACAGAGAAGGAAAGAAAGGGAAGGGAAGGAAGAAAGAAGAAAGGAGAAGGGAGAAAGGGGAGGAAAGGAAAAGAAAAGGGAAAGAAAAGATAGGGGGAAAAGAACTGAGCTGAACCTGGTTCCTCTTTAATGATTCAACCTTTTGTTAGGAACCCCTTCATCTCACGGAGTCTCCTTCTACCTCTCCTTTCACCAAGACAACTCCAAGGAAGCACCATCCATGACCAGAAGTTCTCTGGTTCCCAGTTGGCTTCTTCTCCTCTCTCCAGCACTCCACGGAAAGGTTCTTACCGGAATTGCCTGGAGCAAGACCAACATTTTGCTAATTTACATTCTCCTCCTCCTCCTCCTCCTCCTCCTCCTCCTCCTCCTCCTCCTGAGGAGACAGAGCTTGATAGCACGATGATGGTGTCGTTTGAGGTCAACAGGACAGGAAAGATTAATATAATCTCCCTCCCTAATCAGATTGAGCTAGTCCACAGGTACAATAGTACAGATCAGGGATTGCCTTCCTTTCCAAGGAGGGCTAGATTCTGGAAATATCTCCATTAATTTCTGGTATAAATTAATTTCTTTTTTCCCCCTCTGGGTCTGGCTCTCCTGTTTTCAGAAACCATTTTCAATCAACCTGGCTAACAAGAGTTGACAAGCACATTCCAGACCTGAGATGGCGAACTTACGGCACGCGTGACACAGGTGGCACACGCAAAGTCCTCTCTGCGGGCAAGCGAGCCGTCGCCCCCAGCTCACCTCCACCGCGCATGCGCCTCCCGCCGGCCAGCTGATTTTGGGGTCTCTGCCGTGCAAGCATGGGGGCGGGGTGCATGTGGGAGATGTGCGTGCATGCACAGGGGGGTGTCACGCACGTGTGCGCAGGGGTTAGGGGTTACCACGCCACCCTGTTTTTGGTCCCAGGAGGTTTCAGGGAGGCCTGCTAGGACCAAAACAGGGCGCGGAGGGGGTACCTGATGGTAGGACAAGAAGCAACGGGTGGAAACTAATTAAGGAGAGAAGCAACTTAGAACTAAGGAGAAAATTCCTGACTGTTAGAACAATTAATCAGTGGAACGACTTGCCTCCAGAAGTTGTGAATACCCCTACAAGTTTTTAAGAAGAGATTGAACAACCATTTGTCTGAAGTGGTGTAGGATTTCCTGCCTGACCAGGGGGTTGGACTAGAAGACCTCCAAGGTCCCTTCCAACTCTGCTATTCTATTCTATTCTATTCTTCTATTCTATTCTTTTCTATTCTATTATTCTATTCTATTCTATTCTTCTATTCTATTCTTCTACTCTATTATTTTATTCTATTATTCTATTCTATTCTTATTCTATTCTATTATTCTATTCTATTATTCTATTCTATTATTCTATTCTATTATTCTATTCTATTATTCTACTCTATTCTATTCTATTCTATTCTATTCTTCTATTCTATTCTATTCTATTCTTCTATTCTATTCTATTCTATTCTTCTATTCTATTC